AGTGGTCTCACATGGCATGTTGAACCCGTTTAGGACTCGAACCGCATGCACGATCTGATCTTGTAGGCCGAGCTGTTCCACGACCCTCGATCTGATGATGTTGGCCAAGCTACCTGGATCAATTAAAACAAGCTTAACTCGAGATTTATTCATAAGTACTAATATTACCAGTGCATCATTGTGGGGTTTCACGATCCCCTCAACATCTTTGTCGTTTGAGGACAAGGTTCCTTCCGGCATATAATCCCGAGTTCGTTTTTCCCTTGTGATGGATAATTTGGTGCGCTTCAGCATCGGCCCTTAGGGAACGTCGACTCCACCGATGATCACGTTAATGACGTGCTGAGGTTCCTCCTGCTCGATCTATTTACTAGAATCTCTGTTCCTGAAGTGGTTCTTGGCTCGATCGCTCAGGAACTCTCGGAGGTTTTCGTTGTTGAATAGTCGGGCTACTTCCTCTCTTAATTGTCGACAATCTTCTATTCTGTGGCCGTGAGTGCCATAATATTTGCACATTAGGTTAGGATCCCTTTGGGCTGGATGAGACTGTAGAGGTAGAGGCCATTTGGTACCTTTGATGCGTCCAATGGCGGATACGATGGCAGCGACGTTGATGTTAAAGTTGTACTTTGATAGCCTTGGCGCCTCCTTATGCCCGATGGGCCTGTCGAAACTATTTTTGCTCAAGAGTCTCCGATTGCTTTGACCGATCACTCCTTCTTTCACTTTTCATGGGGTTTTGTCCAGATTCGCTACCTCTTCGGTCTCCATTGTATGGCAGATATCGATCCTTGTTCGACGGCTCTGACGGGGTAAACGGACCCGGAAGGGGCCCTGAGTTGATCGTCTTCGACCTTGATTTTTGATTGATACCGATTATGCACGTTGGCCCAAGTGACAGCTGGGTACTCCACCAAATTTTGTTTCAACTTCTATGAAGCCAACGAGCTTCGAGCATTGAGTCCCTGGGTGAAGGCTTGAACGACCCAATCGTCCGCGACCGGAGGAAAGTCCATCCGTTCCATTTGAAACCGGGACACGAATTCCCTGAGCATCTCATTATCCCTCTGCTTCACTTTGAAAAGGTCTGACTTTCTGGCCTCGACCTTGATAGCCCTGGCATGTGCTTTTACGAAGGAATCTGCAAGCATAGCAAATGAGTCAATAGAATTAGGAGGTAGGTTGTGATACCATACCATAGCTCCCTTGGACAGAGTTTTCCCGAACTTTTTCAGCAGGACAGACTCGATCTCATCATCCTCCAAGTAGTTCCCTACGATGGCGCATGTGTAGGAAGTCACATGCTCATTTGAGTTGGTCATTCCGTTTTACTTAGGAATATCGGGCATGCGGAACTTCTTTGGGATCGGCGTTGGGGCTGTGCTCGGAGGAAAAGGTTTTTGAACAAATTTCTTGGAATCCAGGACCTTCAATATCGAAGGTGCTCCTGGGATTTGGTCGATCCTGAAATTGTAGGTTTTCACCTTTTTGTCATTAGCTTCAATTTTCTTCTCCCCCGATTCTATCCCTTTTGTCAATTCCTCGAGCAATTTTATGATCTTAGGGTTGGTCCCCGATTCATTTTCCTTCGGCCTCTCCATGATCGGTTCGTTTCTGCGGGTGACTTCCCGGGATGGCTCGGGCTCAACCCTGCTCGGCGCTCGGCATTGGTTCTGCAACTGGGCTATCGCTGCCTGTTGAGACTGTAACATTTCGAAGATCACCCGCAAATTGATCCCATCGTTTTCACCGGTGTGTGCATTCTTTTTAAACTTTCGCAAAGCTCTCCTTTCCTTAGAGTGAGTTGGTTTTGAATGAAAGCAGGTTTCATCCTGACTTTCATCGGGGACAGGTACGGGGTCTGGGTCGGTCGATACGATGAACGGGAAATCAAAAAATCTTGCTTCATTGAAGTCCCTCATGGAAGAAGAATTGGCTGATGTAGAAGGCTTATTTGTTATCGTATCCACCACATAGTTTACATACTCAGACAAGCTGACTCCAGCGCCTATAGTAATAGTCATACTAAAGCTAAAGAGATCCCAATAGTCAATCCGCTACGCCCCAATGTTGTCAACGAACAATCACCTTGCCTTACTAATATATTAATTTTTTCGCATTGTCTTCCTCCAACAGGAAGGAGAGCAGCTGATTCTAGGGATGCCCATTTGTCCACATCAAAAGGAAAGGAATCAGTCCGGCAGCAAGAGAGGAATTCCTCTAAGCCGTATCATCAATGTTAATAGCATTTATCGATGCTTCTCCANTACAAGCTGACTCCGGCAATCGATCGGACTTCCCTGCGCATGTTGTTCTCAGGATTGGTAGGCAAATTTGTATTGATGGCCACATGCGAACTGGCATCAATAGGGTCCGCGATTGGACTTCCGCCGAGATCGACATGGGGCACCTCGTTACCGGGTGCTACATTGTTGTTCTCGCCATGGTGGCTGGACTCAGCATCTATATTTAGAGGGACAGACTGGGGGTTTGACATTTCGACTTTGACCTGGAATCAAAGATATTTAAAGAATAAGTGTAAAATAAGGTGTGTTACGGGAATTTGTATCAAATTGCCGTTATTATCCTTAACCCCACAGTGGGCGCCAAACTGTTTACCCTCAGAATCGGATAACAATTAAATTTATAAGTGATTTTAAGGATACGCGGATTAACTTGATACAAAGTGATAGATTAAGTTACTATTTAATAAACAAAGATAAAATAAATTCAAAACATCCCCCCCCCCTCTTTGGATAGTTTCGGCCTTAGTGAAGTAGCCACTCTCGAGCCGGGCTCACCGCGACCGGTACAGATGAAAAAGAACAAGAGCTAAAGACAGAGAAAATAATAATATATTGCTTTTGAGTGTGTGTTACAATGTCCTTCATGAATTATCAGACCCCTTTATATAGTAGGGGAGTCCTACTTTAGGTACAACTCTATAAAAGGTAAAAAATCTCCTGATTCACTCATTGCCGATTCCTTATCGATACGTGCCGAGATCCCCGCCGTGATATTCGGCCGGTCACGGATACTCCGGCTTTCTGTTGGCTATGCTGGATTGTCTGACAATGTTCTTCGAAGTCGTTCGAGGCTAGGATCGATTCCGAGACCATGGCCTCGATATTCTCGAGGGCGGGCGTCATGCCCCCGGGTTCTGGTCCGGTAGGACTTTGGCTGATTTCGGTCCCTTGCCTCCATGTCTCGAGCCTGTCTTATTTTGTCGGAGGCCCGTGATGTACCATGAGTTCGATTTCACCCGTATACACAAAGAAGACTTCAACTTTTAGAGTAATGAATTAAAATATGTGATACCCTCCAACGTATATTAAGTATTAGAGCGATCGAGTTGCAAATTCATCCCACACCTTCGATATAGAAATCTATCTCTTCGAGACTTCTCCTCTTTCGTTTTCCCTTTTTGTATTCAATAGTCCACTTAATTATCTCAAGAAAATAATTTAGAAAAATAGAAAGAAAACAAAAGGCATAATAGAAACTAAGTAGCATTAGAGCGACTCGTCCGACTAGGAAAAAATCTTCCTTACGTAAGGTTAATTCGGATGATATAAAATGTCGGCAACTTAGAATAGGTGTGCATGCACTCCAAATCGTTATTTAAAGTGTTACATATACTGCAACTACATGTACTTCGTTTTGAGTATCATCTTTCTACTTCAAACAACATTCGATGTTGGTGTTACCAATGATCTTTAATTTGCTTTCTCAATCAAAAGGGGAAACTATCGTACTGAACGATTTGATCATTCAATTGTTTGTCATTTCTTAAGGAAAATCTAAAATTTAGAATTTAAGCATAAAATTATCATTCCGTCGTTCAATATGCTTCTGTTAAGTAATTTCATACCCTCTTTTTCTTCTCCGCGAGGAGTGCGAACCACAACTCACATATTAAGTAGCAGATGAAAAAAAAATTCTAACGGTCTATTTCTATAACTTTTCAGGATATGATGACATTATAGTAATGAGAGCTTTTACTTCTCGCAAGTACTCTTCCCAAACAGTGATAAGGAAGCATAAAACGCACAGAGTTAAAAGTCTATCATGGAAATGAAAAAACAAAATTATTGTTCCGCATAAGGGATTCCTACCATCTCCTTCCCGTTGCGCTAAATAACCTGGCCCATGATTTATGCCCGAAATGGCGAATACTTTTTTGTAACGACAAGATGCATGTCCTGGCCAACTTATTCCATCAGATAAGTACTACCTCACACTAACATAAGTACCTCATAGCTCTACTCGAAAGGTGAATAAATATAGGATGAGAACATAATGCCTTATTTTCTCTACATCGAGATAATTGGAGAAGTACCATTCAAAAAACTTAACAAACTAAAATATTTTAGGGTGTCACAGTTTACACTTCAGGTATTGAGAATGTAATATGCATGTGTTTGGCTAGCTAGGTAGTGAATGAAAACCAAGAATGATCGAGTCGCAAAACCAATTGAATCATATTTAAACGATCGTAATACCTACAGATGTAAGCCTTAGCTTTTCAAAGTTCTAGAATGTGCGTTGCGGACAGACATGAATTGAGAAAAAAGTGAGCTATAAAACGGATCATTATATTGTTGATCAAACTCAAATTCCAGCCACAGATTAAAAGAAAGAACTTATATACAGATAAAACGACCAAAGCAGAATAAAAGAATAAACTAACTTGATACAATTGTTGTCTGATCAATTTCTTGAACCAACTTTACGTCGTCCAAATTTGCATATGCCTTTTAATTCATGTAGCATACTATAACATGTCATCACTAAACTAATTTTTAAATCAATAACACTTGCAATTCAAATTAACTTCAAATATTTTGATTTTATTTGCCAGAACGTTTATTCAAACTGCAAGCTTAAGAATATACTAGAACACACGAGAATTTCCCCCATTGACTCCCCCCAGCCCACACCACCCCCTCCCCCCAAACCCCGATCTACCCAAAGAAACAAAAGCACAGATGAACTTTCAGTTAGTTAAAGCCTAAAAGGATAATAACCCTATATACTACACCAAAAATATCTACAATAAAAGTACTTGTCAACATTTATTAATATTGTTAGATATACACAAAATATTTTACATCTCTTTTTCCTTACTTTTGTTTTTAGGGGAGGGGGCAAATATACGTATTTAGATACTGAATTTAAACTTACGATGCTTATTCTTAAGGATCAAAGGTTTAGTAACCTGATAAAGAGCGGAGATGGATCGAAACTTCCTTTTCTTAGGGGGAAAACCTTTATCAGCTTCGTCGAAAGTCTCTTCCATATTGACGACTGTTGATGATACCTCCGCCGTGTCACCAACGCTTTCTTCTTCGACGTGCTCCTTTTCTGCGATCACTACTCTCCAACTGTCGCCGGCGGTATGATCAATGTCACGGGCGCTGCTATCGGAATCGCCGCTGAGCTGAATAAGCTGCAAGGCCGCGTTCATCTCCGGCTCCGTCAGCTTCTCCGGTTCGGTTTGGATTCCTCTATTTTTCACCGTTGATATTGCTGATTTCTTCATTTATTTATGGAGATAGAGATATTGTTATAGTCGGTGTTNTTCTCCGGTTCGGTTTGGATTCCTCTATTTTTCACCGTTGATATTGCTGATTTCTTCATTTATTTATGGAGATGGAGATATTGTTATAGTCGGTGTTTGGTTTGCGGGAAAGGGGAAAGAATTTTGTTTTGGGGGTATTTGTATTCCTCAGGTGGGTAATCTAGATGGAATGACGAAAATATCTTTGAATCTCTCTTTTTAATTTTAATAAAATTCTTGTTTAACTGAACCTTTTTTTTTTTTTTTGGTTTAAAGTTTAACTGATTAAGTAATCGCTAGTTTCAGAGATTTTTTTAGGGACAAGGTTGTAATTTACGCAATTCCTTTGGTCATCTCGTCTTACCTTTTGCTCTACGTAAACCCATTTAAGTTTTATACCATAAGCTATTTGAACTAAACGTCACAACTCTATATTCACGCAACTCATGAGTCTAAATCAAGTATAAGGCCGGGTCAATGGATCTGGTGGCTTAGTACGAAATCATATTGAGAGATCCTTAAATTTATCTTATAAAATATTTATACTAATAATAAAATTTATTTTTTAAATAATAAATTAATTATTTAAAATAAAAATAAGCGAATTTCAAAAACAAAAAAAAGGAAGAAGAGCACAAAAATAAAGTGGTGGACTATCGGATGCTTAGGTCCATAAATTTTGATTTGGCTATCATCACAAACAAGAAAAAAAAAATAAACGTACATAACGTAATAACTTAAGTTTTGAGTATTAACGGTGTCAAAAATATTTACCCCTTATGATCAATTTAAACGATAACTGTAGTTTATTCTATTAAGTAGCACTTATTGGTGAATATCTAAAATAAATTATAAATAACCGAATATAATATGTCGAATTATACTAAAAGAAAATCGGATCATGAATACTTTTGTATTCATGCAGTTTGAGAGAACATTGTAAAAGAAATTCATTATGTTGCCGATGTATATATAATTTAATTCCTATATAAAAAGAATAAAATTAAAATTGAAGACCGAAGCAAATATACTAATTAATTAGTAAAGAAAATTATCAAAATTTATGAATTTATTGATATAAAATAACTTCAATCAAATAACAAAAAAGAATATACTGTAACACTTTTCTTTATACTGATTATTTATATAATTTATATAATATATAGTAATAATAATAAGAATTAAAAATAAATTTGGGGCCTTCAAATTTTGGGGGTCTAAGGCGATGGCTTACTGCCTGATAATCGGCTTAATGTATGCATATTTTGATATATACCGCCTCACATTTTGCTCATGTCTCGACGATTTGAGATGTTTAATATGATTATTTGTGCTAAATTTAGGTATTTCTATGTGTAGGGATTATTCGGACACAATTTGGGGTGAAATGGCGCGAATTGGAGTGAAATCGGGACAAAAAGGCAAAAAGTGAAATTTGAGGGCCACAACCAGCGTGGGCGCTGGCTGTGGCGCAATTTACAGCAGCCAAAATATTTGAACGCCAGGGTCAGCGCCCCACGTTGACCTGGACGCTCAAGACGGAAAAAGTGTCCTTTTTCGACTAGAACTCGGTTATTTCGACCCCTAGACGCCCCCAACTCATATAAAAGCCGACATAAACCTATTTTAAAAGTAAGAGGATGTTTTGAGAGAAAAAACACAAGCACAAAGCCGCCGTGGAGGCCGAAATTCATCAAGTTCCATCTTTCTCTCACCAAACTTAGTAATTTTTATATTTCTTTGTATGATTTGTTGTTTGGCTACCATGTCTATGTGGAGCTAAACTTTAAGTTCTAGGGTTGTGGTTCTTTCATGACTATTGTTATTCGGATATTGATTTTGCCTTCTTGATTTATCATATTGATTTATTTATTCAATCTTGCGCTTAATTATTTAATTGCTTGATCACCAATTGAATACTATCTACGAATCTAGAGTTGAACTCGAAAGTGGGAATTCTAGATTGCATATAGGATTGAGTAGAGCAAGTTCTTGAACTCGGGCATCGGGGAACGGATTCGTGGTTAGGATAGACATATACCTAATTGCCTTGCTTGGTTGATTTACAGGAATTATAAATGCGTTCTTGTTGATTCTAACTCCATAGACATATAGGCGTTAGGTTAGCTTGAATAGGCGAGTAAGAACTCGACAGATTCTTATGAGCANTTCTTGAACTCGGGTATCAGGGAACGGATTCGTGGTTAGGATAGACATATACCTAATTGCCTTGCTTGGTTGATTTACCGCAATTATAAATGTGTTCTTGTTGATTCTAACTCCATAGACATATAGGCGTTAGGTTAGCTTGAATAGGCGAGTAAGAACTCGACATATTCTTATGAGCAATATTAACCTTGTGAACCAATAAGCTAGATAAATTAGTCGGTCAATTCAATTGAAGAATACAATAGGATTGTTAGATAGCCCATAACCCTAGATCCTTTTCATTACATTGATATCATAAAAATCTGCTCTTTCTCTGTTCAAAGTTCATTATTTATATTTTTTTATTTAATTAGTTTAGAATCAAATATTTGTAGGTTTAATTCTTGTTTAGATAATTAGGATAGTCTAATTTAGTTAATAGTTAATCACAAGTCCTCGTGGGTTCGACATCCGACTTTTAGTCACTTTATTACTTGACGACCGCATATACTTGCGTGTGCGTTTGGCTGCAACACTGCCCAAGCCTTTAGAGCTGCCCCAGTCCAGATCACCTAGGATGACTATATGTTAACTTGCCCGCAGGCCGCAACTCGACTAACTATTCCAATGATGTCTGCTACCTTTTATCTGTACAGAAATCAAGTAAATTCATCCGTCGAGAAGGAATCACATATTGAATATATATCCTCTTATATGTGGTCTCTTATTAGATTCATTTATTTCATTGATCATTAAGTCACATTCTTCAACGGAGATATTAGTTTTTTACTTGAATAACTTGATAACTTTAGAAGCCTCAGAATCTAAGTTAGGCTTCTGCCGATTAAAAATGGAAACGGTATGTTTTTTTTCCTTTTCGTTATGAGCAGGCAGTGGCTGGTCCATAAATAGCTAGAAGGGGAAATGGGAGAATTTTATGTGGAAGTGAAACTTCGAACTTAAGTGATTTATGATGATAATTTAAACATCAAACTGTTCCCAACACAAGGGTATTCTTATTTTTATTTTTTTGGTAATAACTGTGAATATATTACCATAAACCCACAAAATTAATACACCTAAAGAGCCCTTGAAATATTTAACCACCTTGCAGGAAGGGTGTTAATATATTCCAATCCTCTGATAGAACATTAAAAAAAAAAAAAAAGGCAGTCCGGTGCACTAAGCTCCCGCTATGCGCGGAGTCCGGGGAAGGGACGGACCACAAGGGTCTATCGTACGCAGCCTTACCCTGTATTTCTGCAAGAGGTTGTTTTCGGCTCGAACCCGTGATCTCCTCCTGGTCACATGACAGTAACTTTAAACATACTAATCACAAAAACTTTTGAATAAAAAAACTACTTTTGTGGGCTCTCTTTGAACATTTCATGTGGCGTATCCTCTCTTTTATTTCCTGTTTAATCTGTGTTACCACAATCTCTCTATGTACAATTGCATCCTTGAATTGTGTCAGATTCCTTGCTCTCCAAGTGTGGTAAATCATAGCTCCCCAAATGGCAGTTATAACTTCCTTCTTCTTTTAAACTATAACAGGCTTTGATTGATCCATGTCTTGTGAGAATAGATGGAGTACTTGAGTTTCTTCCTTTGCCTCATCACATAGACAACATAGATTGGTATCTGGAATCTTGCTAATCTTTCCTTTATCAGTAGTTTATCTGTTGGCCAGCCATATTATAATTCTGTGCCTTGGTAGCATTATGGAGTTCCAAATCAAATCTGCTACCTCAAGCTTCTGCAGTCCTCCCAGCATTGCATTGTAGCTACTAGTAACAGAATATCTTCCATTAGGTTCAAGCAATAAGTTCCATAGTTATACCAAGCTAACATATCTATATTGATTGAATTCAGAGGTAAAAGGAAAGTGGCACTAACCTCCTGGGAAAAGCTGTGTACACCTAAGAAATATGGTGGTTTAAATATGAAAAGTTGTAGAAAATGGAATGTTGCTTCAGTTGGTAAGTTGATCAGGCAGATCGGAAAAAAAGGGAGGACATACTATGGATCAGATGGGTTGGTGGTCTTTACATGAGAGGTGAAGAAAGAATTTGGAATCACAATCCACCGCTTGATTGCAGCTGGTACCGGAGGAAACTGAATTCCCCCCTGTTTATGTTCAACGGTTGTACCTTTGTGTCTTCTTCAACTCCTGCCACAAACATGTTGAATTTATCTTAATTAGCTACCTGTCCAGTGACCTCACTAAAATGATCGGCAAAAATTAGGTGTGTCAGTTTGGTAGCTTTACAAATAGGATGAAATTTGAAATCTGGTAGCTCACTCTTCTTTTTCAGATAAGTACTCCATCACTTAACACAAATAATAAAGGGGACATTGGATCCTCCATGTCGTAGTCCTCTTTTCCCCGCAAAGTACCCATGCCCTTCTCCATTCACCTTGACTGTAAATTTGGTGGATATAATGCTTGTCATCATCAGTTGAATAATGTACTCTGGAAACCCAAATCCTTTTAATGCCTCCTCAATGAACTCCCATCTCACTCCATCACTAACACAAACGTATCCTTACTACTTCAAAAGAATAATCGTTCAATCGCATCAACCTCCAATTAAGACTCATTTGATAATTACTACTGTACTATGTTTTTCCTGATGCTCGATACTTTCTTCACAAGATAAAATATTGAGTAACAGGTACCATCATTGGTTTTCCCCTGCTGGTCGTAGTTTTTGTGGGTAGCTAAGTGGTAATAAAAGTTACTAAGGCTGAAAATAATACTATCACTATAGCGACTGACTTCAACATACATCAAAGACAATGATTCTGAGACTCGTGCATTGCGTCTCAGATGTACATATATAGCGACTGACTTCAATATACAGCGGTAACAAGATCCACAAATTGTACAGTAAACTTGTCATCACATCAGTGTACACTTGAAGGCAGATCAACTTTTTTTAATCTTAGCCTGTAGTGCATACGCATTATGCTCCCTTGAATCTCGATAGTGAATTAACCCTTTGCAAAGGAATTCACATTGCTTCAGGGATGAGCATAGCACAACTTCCTCTGCAACCCAGTCAATTCGTGTGTACCACCTGAACGGCTTGAATGTAGTTTGTCTTTGTTAGGCATTAATGAGATGTCTGTCCCTTGAACCTTGATGTCTATTAACCAATGGAATCCCATGGCTTCAGGGCTGAGGATAGTACACTTTCTTCCACCACCAAATCTTCCTTCCTCGACCCAACCTTCGTGTCTCCACCTGAAGGGTTTGAATATCGTGTCTGTTAGGCATTGATACAAGTACCGTATTGTATCGACATTAAAGGAGACCTAGAACACGAAGGCACATATCTTCAAAAGAAGAAAACGATAAAATAAATACAGTGAATAGTAAGGCATAAGAAACATCCATAAGACCAAAGAACAAAAAATTTTTTTTTAAAAAGGGGCCAAAGAACAAAAGAAATTCTCAATGTATTAATATATCCAAAAACCCACTGTAATTTCACAACCACACAAACTTTTGTATGGCAACTAATTAAGTCCATCAGCACCAGAAGACACTGCATTCAATAAGTGGGTAACATTATAGTAAGATTCAATTAAAACAGTAAACAGCACTAAAGGTTGTATGAGACTAATTCAATTTGTTTTTGTAAACTTCATGGAAACATTATTGATTGAGAATGATAAACGATCAGCAACATTAGCACTTGGGATAACCAGAAAGTTTTAATGTTATACCAGTTGGAACTAATTGTGTGAGATGTAGACAAATATCTTTTTATCAGGTTTTTTTTTTTTTTTGCCTATATCTCACACTATTAATTTACTGGTCGAACATAAAAATTGTAGGCAAATATCCCGACTTAGATCTTCTAAAAGGACTAGTTCCAGTAGTAATTTCATATTTTTCGCCGGCAAGAACATTTGAATTGTGTTTTCACATGTAAAGAAAGTTCCTATCAAATATTTGTGGGGAAAAAAACAAAAAGTGGCTCTAGAAAGGTACTTACATAGCCGCAGCTTGTGAAGAAAGTATTCTGAAAACGGGTCAAATTTTGAAGATCTTGTATAAACCCAGTAAAGGGAACCTGAAAGAAACAGATATTGAATAAGAATTAAGTCAAGATGGCAAGTACTGCAGAACCCTGAGGTTCTCCAAATAAATGGAGGAAATATAGAATGATGCCAGCATGAAATGCAGGCAGCAACAACATTGAGATTCAGAAAAAAAAGGCCAACTATATTTGAATGCAAAATTGTCAACTGCAAACATTGTAGTAACGAAGCAAGCGAACTCTAATACCCAAAATACAGATAGGAAGAAAATTGGCAAGGTTGAGTAATACAGACACAAATATGCCGATAGTACATATTCCAGAAGGAGGATAACGACAAGAGTCCAACAGTGATATGAAGACATCAACTATTTCTATAAACAACAGAAAAGCAAAGAAAATGAAAATAATCACAGTTGACAAAGTTAGTGTATCCGTGTGCTCTAGATTTACATGCTTGAATTGAATACAGGATATCTGAGAGGTGGTAACTCACAAAAAGCTGAAAACTAAACATAAAATTTTTTGTTGATAAAGGTAATTTGTTAGCTGAAAAATAAACATAGTTTTTTAGAACTTTAATAAAGGTGTTAAGCTGAAAAATAAACATAAATTGAAGCCATTTTTTAGTTGATACATCACCAAACAAGATAGACATATATCAAAGAGAAGGTGGACTTATATTCCCTCTATCAACCTTAGATAATGGCTCCCCTATTGCTGTTGGTACTTTAGTCAAAAAAAGAGGAGATGGGCCTTTAAAATGTACTGGGAGCGACATATGAAAAGAGCATGTGAAAGGTGGGATAATAGATTCTACCAGTCATAAGCCTAAGGTTCCTATAATCTTACAATTCTACAGTTACTCAATATATTATTGGATCAGATCAATATAATCTGCTTGAGCTTTAACCCGGAGATGAAAGAGAGACTTCATTATCAATTTCTCGTGTTAAAGTGTAAAAGTTTGGTAACAAAATAAGTTCTATGCCCAACTGAAGTCATATGTAAGTACGCCCAAAATTAGCATCTCATTTCAATGATAAAATGGTAAATGATGAATAAAGAACTTAAGTACATTTGAACTCGATAAAGCTGGTAAATTTGAACTTAAACTACGAGTGATTTTAGAGAGCTGTTTTACAGATTTTGAAAGACCAGCTGAATGCTTACAGGATTGGAGTAAATCAAGATGATGATATAGTTGTAGTACTTCCAATTATTAATGAATTTTTGTCAGCAACGTCAATTGGTTCACCAGGTTATGAAGTACTCAAAAATTCGGCAGAAGCTTAAGCTTACCTAGCATCAAGGATGCCGACCAGAATAACCAAAGATGCCAACATGGGTTCAATGTGCAGGGAAACTCCTAGCAGCTGTTACCAAAAAGAGTGCACACAGTCAAACTGAGAAATAAAAGGACAAATTCAATACTCTCCAACTCATACTCTAGTTGAACCTCCCTAAAGAACTTGAAGATGCACAAAAAGACATGCTTTCTCAGCAGCTTTAAGAGACTACCAAACGAAGCCCTTTAATTTGAAAAAAGTGAGATAAAAATATTTAGACATATACTGGTCCTCACATCCTTTCACATCACTGATAATATTATAACAATAATGCATAAAGCTTGACAAAGACAAAAAGTAGTACAAACATTGCTCAGAATACTTAAAATAAATAAAGCATTGTTTTAAATGAAAAATACTTTTTCCTAGACGTCTTAGCAGCTAGCGCAAAGCTTACTCTTCCCACAATTCCCCAATTCAATTTCTTCTAAGTTCTAACTCGACAAACTCTACAATATTTCCCTCCAATTATCATACTATTCCACGGCACTGTAGCTGATTTCCGTAGGCAGTTTCCCATTATTTGAAAAAGAGGTACGAGTTTCATGTACAATCCTAAAGTTTCTGATAGTTACAGATATATCTCCAAAACTCCCGTCCTAGTGATGGAACCCTATCAGACTTTTTTATCACATAGCGGCAGTCATCACATGCTGACACTTGTCACAAGATTGACCAAGTAAACTTATGAGACGAAAGGTACGCAGGAGGCGCCTTCTTTTATTATTTTTCTTTTATTTATTTCTTTGGTCTGTTTTCTTTTCTCAAACGGAGGGAGCTTGGAGGATCATATAACCAGAAAAAATGTTAGAGGGAAATGTGATGCTTCTCACGCTAATTATGAATTCAGATTAGAAATGGTGAATAGGAAGCTTATGCAACGAACAATTTTTTTACATTAAAGGCTTAAGGAACTACAACTTTTAGAAATGCAGGTCTTATAAGTTTGTAAGCTAAAGGGTTCCTTCCTATTATTTTCCATAAACGACACACCTGAACTTACTACAAAGAAAAAATCTACCAGAGAAAAACAAAATGGAGGAGCTTCTCACCTTAAAGAAAGAATAATGATCATGTTGCTTGAGTTCTTGATAGAAACTGCTGAAGCAATCTTCCTTGAGTACTGAAGCACTTCAAAGGAACAAAGACCCGCATGTTCCTTCAGCAATGCTTAAGGAACCAAATAAATTTTTTAATTAAACAGCCACTGGGATATCCAATCTTGTCCTGAATGGTACAGATTGCTTTGAAGATAATAAATCCGATTTCAAGTCCTTTGGTGAAGTGAGCCTTACTTTATAAGCTTCCTTTGCCATGCCAGCTTTTAAAAGGCATGAAGTCAAACAAGTTACTGTGATTTCATCGGGCACACAACCCAATGACATCATCTTATCATAAATTGCCATAGCTTCAAGCATTCTTCCTTTCATGCAATGCCCGAGAATGAGAATGGTAAAGGTGAATTTATCATGGCAACACCCTTTGCTCTCCATTTCTGCTGCAATCACATTTGCTTCGTTCAAATTACCAGCCTTGCAAAACCCATCAAGCACAGGGTTGTATACAAATGGTTGGGGGACAATATCATCCCTCAATATCAATTGCCTCAATAATACCCGAGCTTCATTTAGCCTATTCTCCTTGCTCATAGCACCAATAAGAACAGAGAAAGTATATAAGTTCGGCCACAAATTTCTGGCGTTCATTTCATCCCAGAGCCTTAAACCCTGGTCTAAGTCCCCCGTCCGACAATGGCCGTCAATGAGAGAAGTTAAGGTAACAACATCAGGAGGGCAACCAAAAGCACACATTCTCTCATACATTTTTTGAGCTGAAAACATGTCTCCTATCTTCCCAAAACCATTAATGAGAATGTTAAAAGTAACCATATTCGGACTAATACCATAAGTAATCATTTCATCCATCAGATTTATAGCGTCATCCATCCTGCCCAACTTGCAGTAACCAGAGATAACAGACGTATATGTCACAACATCAGGTGAATATCCATCTTGTAACTCAAGACTTCTTAACAAACCTCGCGCCCTGTCCACTTGACCAACACCACATAACCCATTTATAAGAGTGTTATACGTAACAAGATCAGGGAAACAATCAAAACTTCCCATGTCATTGAAAAACTCAAATGCCTTATCAACTCCTCCAACTCGACAAAGCCCACGAATCACAATGTTAAAAGTGCAGGTGTCTGGAAACAATCGCTCCGACCTCAAAATGTGATCTTTAAAAAAATCAACAGCCCCATCTACCTGATTTCGCTTCATTAACAAACTCAAAAGACTATTATGTACAAAGGGCCGAACAACAACACTACCTTCCTCACTACCTAACTCAGCTTGCGAAATCAAAATTTCTTTGGCAATGCCAAACTTGCCCGCATTTGCAAGTGCTAATACTACAATTTCCAAAATCGAACTATCTAGTAAAACCCCATCAGCTTTCATATACTTGAACACTAACATAGCTGAATCGTGAAACCCCATTTGACAAAGTGACCTTAAAAGCAAATTAAAAGTGCCAATACAATGAATAAGATTCAAATTGACCCTAGTGTGTTTAAAAAAATTAAATGCCAATCTGGGGTTACGCAAATTGGTATTAATATGGTGAATAACGTTGAAAGCAATATGGGGGTCCAAATTCTGACGAAAAAAATCAGAAGTGAATACATCAAGAGATTGAGAATGGTGAAAACAGAGGAGACATACAACTTTAGTGAACCAAATCGCTTCGGGACCGTATGAAGGGAGAGATTTTGAAGTATGAAAACGAGCAATGAGGGAAATATTGGACACCCGTTGAACCCACAAGGGCATTATCTCCGGTCACCGATCGTAGTGTTCGAATCGATCTTAGGATTAAAAGCCGGTTTTTAGTCATACCATTTCACTATTTCAGTATATGGAAAAGAAGAGCTAGTGAAGGTAAAAAAATTAATCAGAGTTTAGGGTTTTGAAGATGAGTGATGGATTGGCTGTCAGTGAAGTTGTTCTAGGGTTGAAGGCATAGAGGAGGCGCCTGGAAAGATGGTCACCTCTCAGCTTGTTTTGGTGGCGTCAATACTGCAGGCTAAGGTTAAATTAAAACACAGGTATACAACAATCCCTCGTGTTATTTTTCTTATTTTTATTTTTCATTTACTTGGAAATTTTGTTTTGTTACTCTTTCCATCCAATTTGGGCGAGTCTATCAGTCTAATGACCATTAAATATTATGGTGGAATAATAAGTATCGGATGTGTAATGGATGATACTGATATTTCATTTCCCTAACCAGAGATATCACATTTGAGTATATAGAAAAATTCTTGGTATGAGCTATTCCCCAAACGAGACCCTATGCGGCGCGAATCTAATTATAGTCGGGACGTGTACCGAACACCGGATGGAAAACCTAAAAAAAAATATCCCTTCATTCTTATCTTTGGTAAGGTTTTTAAGTTCAAATTTTAAGAATAAAGTTATTTTTAATAGGAAGTAATTTATCATCAAAGTAAAAAATTTTAACAGAAATATGAATTAGTCGAGTGCTCGAGCAGACAATAAGAAATTCGAACTTGGTTAAGTGAGATTGAACAGAGCTTAACTAAGCTCACTATAGTTTTGAGTCAATGTTAACCGAAGCTAAAGTTCAACTAAAATACTACATTACTGATTTGAGCTCGAGTTGAATCCAATTGAGTTTCTCTAACGTTTATTCGAGCTTGAGTAGAATAGAAATTAGGTCAATTCTTTAACATTTGCTTTTGTAAGGTGTTATTCCCCTTTACAATAATTTTTGTTTATAACTTATAAAATTACTATAATCTTTGAAATTACGTATTTATTTTCTTTAGATTTTTCAAGAAGACTTTTTCAAAAGGCTGTCTCAATTACTCCCTCCCTTTTAATTTATGTTCACTTATATGACTGAGCACAGAGTTTAAGAAAAAAAAATACTTTTGAATTTGTGATCCAAAATTTTATACGGATATAAATCATTAAAGGTAAATTATTTTCAATCATTTGGCACAGTCTGTATAAGTTTCCAGAAATTAAAATGGAGGAATTATTATCGGGCCAATTTGGAATTTAAATTACCTATGAAAATAGCAAACTATATAAAGCTCCACCTTTCCCCTTAAACCCTGCATACTCTACTGGTTTGTCTTCCCTAAACCCATAGGAAGAGCAATTACCTTTCTCATTCACAAATGGCGGTGGACAAGAACAAGCTGGATGAAGAAGCTTGCAGTCTCCGCTTCTACAAAATCATTCTAAGCTGGGATTACCTTCGTCTCCTCAAAGAATCCGACGTAATTTCACAATCTTTTACAGTATCTTTTAATTCCCCTACTTCTACCCCTCTTTCTATAAGTGGGTGTTAATATCTTTCATTATGTATTTCAATTAATATAGAGAAAGAATCACAAAAAGGATAAAGGAGATGATGACACTGCTCCTGGTCTGAAAAAAGCCAAGAATTCGTACAAAGATGTTGAAGATTATATTGCAACATTCGAGCCTCTTCTTTTTGAAGAAGTCAAAGCTCAAATCGTCCAAGGGAAAAAGGATGATGAAGAAGGTAGCATTGCTCTTACTATTTATCCATCTTCCCCACATTGTTAATATATTTGAGATTTTTTCTTTGAGAAAGGTAATATAGGATGATTGAGATTTTATCAATAGAAAAAAAAGTATCGAGCATATAGTAAGTGATAATGGCATTAAGGTTTTCTTCTTTGAATTCCCCCGTCTTATTCAGGTAAAAATTCTATCTTTATTTGTGTTGTGAGCTATGTTTTGGTTAGCTATTAGTCATATTAACACTAAGTTGCTGTGTCAGCACCATAAAATAAAACCTCAATCTCAAACTAATTTGGGATGGACAAGAACTATATCTCGGAAATTTTGAACATTCTGAGTAATTTGCCATGTTCAAGTTATTGAGCATTGTAATGAAAGGGTCCAAATTTCATATAGGTGACCCCAACTAACCAAGGATTGAGGCACACTTGTAGATTTTCTACTTGTTCTTCATTCTTTGGGCAGCCTTGTACAGGTGTTACTAGATGAAAGAAAGGAAGACCCTCTGCACTTGTTGATCCAAGATCTTATGCAGATGTTATTGGATTTTTATTTTTGCAATTCCTACAGTGACAGGGACTCAAGAGACAACTAGTACTATTAGTCTTTTGTCTTTAAAACTTGAGGGCAGACTAGAATTTTGACAATATATCACCTAAAGTGCATTTTCTTATACATAATTCAGATTGCACATTTATGCATGTATACATGTTTTATGAGTCTTCGAAGCTTACATTGGTATGTCTTCAAGTTCCGTTTTTATCATTTTATTTGGTTGACTCTGTTTTCATGTACTTAGCATATTTGTTCTTGGGTATTGTAGAGACGCAATGGATGAAAGCAGTAACTGTCGGGTGTAGTGAGATTGATGGATTTCACTTTCCAATGATTTCATCCAGTGATGCTGAATCAATATCACAAAATGATCTGTTGTTACTTTCAAATAAAGAGGTACCCGGTTTCTGTTAACTTTGTGTATGCTTTTCACTTGTTACTTTGTTAGGAGTCTGAACATACGTGTTAATAAATTTGTGTTCCTCGATGCTATCCACTTAAATTGTGAATACAAGCATCATAATGCGGTCTCCATATGTCATTGTTTTCTTTCTGAAGTTTCTTGATAGTCCGAAGTTAAAAAATTTCTTAGAAATTTGGGCGCTTGTGGTGAAATATTTGCAGTTTGGGGAGGGTAAGAGACTTCCAACTGCGTATGCATTTGCATTGGTTGAGGATCGTCGACCAGACAAAATAAGACTTAGGATGTACCTGAGCGGAGAGGTCAAACAATTGAGTACAGAGGAGACAGAAGCTTGCCCAAGGCTTTTGAATATGCGTCCTCTTGTTACAGAAAATGCGAAGCTTTTGCATGTTCTTAAGGTATCCCGGCCTAACTTCTAAATTCTTATCGAACTTTAGGTGTTCCAATATATTTGATTTCTTTGTGATTCTAAATTACGTGTTCATACATGTGGAAAATATGTAACATGTGGGCTCAGTTTATTATACTTTCTGGATAAAGCTCCATTATGAAGTAACGAGTTGTTCAGTCTGTATATGAGAGATCAAACTTGTAAATTGAGCTAAACCAAACTCAAAAGTTCACTGGTGGAAATTTATGCATGATTTTGGTTATTTATGTACGAAAACCTCGTTAAGTTGCAGTAGATATACTCTATGTTTCTTAAGGTGATTCAGCAAACTGATAATTATTTATGTTAGCGAGACCTTGGTAAGTTAGTTATGGTAGAGATATACCAATTCTCCTGCAATTTCCAGGCAATCAGCAGAATTCAGATGATTTGCAGCGAAGTTTTTTGAGGGTCTATTTTATTGGTCTGCTTCAATGTTAATATAGCTGAGTGTAAAAAAATACCAGTTGCAACTCACATTAATATTGTTCTAGTTATTTGAATTTAAAGATGAAATTAAAGTATCATATACTCTTGTGAAACTGTTTTCCTTTTCACTATATGTGCTTCAATTTGCAGATATGCAGTTTATCAACTATAGCCCGCGAATATGTTGCTCTGCGGTCAGTTATCTCCCTCCCATTCAAGGATTTGATACTATCAGCAGCTGAAAGCAATCATACTACAGAGGATCATGCCTGGAAAATATCCAGACCCTTGAAGGAATTTCTTGAAAGCAATCACAACAAGTCTCAGCTTGATGCTATTAATGTGAGTTTTTAAAACAACTTTATAATAATTCTTATCTCATCTTAAGTATATGCAGTAAGCACCTTTCTAAAATTTTGATTTTGCAATAGCGCACACACTTTTTTATATATATATGTATTTATGTATATATGCCATCTATACCAACTCGGTGCNCAGGTTGTGTAAATTAAACATGCCATCTCTTATGCTCTTTCAAGTGTACTAGCTTTGGGATTTATGAATGAATGTATCCTGGAATGCCATGACAAGTGGAGCTGATCAGTGTTCAGTTGTGTATCTTAATTTATTCCATGAAAAATACAGTCTGATACCTTTAATGTATCGAAATTCCCACAGAAGAGACTAGTGTATAAATATTAGTAAGACAATGCTTCAGATTCAAGTTAATCTTGTATCATTGATGCTTCTAACCATGAAGCTGGAACTTTAATAGAGTTATGTATTTAACAAAGTTCATTACTCTAGGGTCCACCAGGGACTGGAAAAACACAAACTATCCTTGGGCTTCTCAGTGCCATTTTGCATGCAACTCCTGCCAGAGTACACTCCAACAGGTATCCTGCTTAATTTTCTTAGTTACTTTAGGTGAATTCATATTAGAAAAAATTTCTGGTGGTTGCTATGGCATATTGCATTCAACAGAAAGCATTCCTTTATTCTGTTATCTGTATATAATGCAAAAGTTTTTTCCTAATCAAAAGGGTAACACGTTCTCTTTTATATACTGAATTTATGCAGGGGGGAGTTGAGTGTTGTAAAACGTGGACCAGAATTATCCATGGCAGACAAGTATGTCTACAAATCATGTGAAATCCTGTTAATATTTATGAATGTGGGTATGATGTACTTATTAAAAAAAAAAGGAGCATGCATTGATGTATCTACGTATTCTTTTACCAGATATACATACATGTATATGCTGCCTTTTAAGCTGACTACATGATGAAAGGTTCGAGTTGAAAATCTGAAGATAAAATCTCATTAACTTTATAAACCTTAAGGATCATAAAATGAGAGTGTAGAAACTATGTGTACATATTTTGTTTTCCATGCTGTGCCACCATATTTAGGAAGCAAGATCTTTGACAGTGGAGATGAAGTTAAATATATATATGCACTTGTTAACTGATTATTGCGAAGATCCAGCATCTCCTTTCTTTCTGGATGGATGGAGAAGCGGGTGGAAGGTGGTGTATTCTTTTTGGATTTTATTTGCAGAGTGATCTATACAATTATATGTGTATGGTTTTTGGCTGTTGACCACCTTATCTCCCCTATTTTGCCAATGCTTCTTCTAGATACATGCATAATCTTTATAAATTCGACGTTTAGAATTGTGTGAAAAATTCTTTTTTTTTAAATCTCTTTTAGACCTTGTTTCTTTTGAATATCTCATGGGGTAAAATGTTTGAACTTTGCAGATACAATCACTGGGGAAAAGCATCTCCATGGTTAGCTGGGATTAATCCTCTAGATCAAGAAATGCCTATAGATGGGGATGATGGATTTTTCCCTACATCTGGCAATGAGTTGGTATGTTTTGATGTTGTCCATGGTAATGCTAAGTTCTGAGCAACTTTAATTTTATGCCCTCTTACACTAATCTGTCTTTCTAGAAACCGGAAGTAGTTAATTCCAGTCGAAAGTATCGTGTTCGTGTTCTTGTTTGTGCTCCGTCAAATTCTGCTCTCGACGAGATTGTTTTGCGCATTCTAAACACAGGTATGCTCTTTGTTATGTCTAGATTTCTTCTTTGCCACAAGTTGTGGTGTTGTTTGCTATGTTGTGTATGAATACATTTCTGAATATACAAAAATATAGGACACTTTTCTGCTCCTTTTGAACTTTTACAATGTGAAATTACACTGTTCTGAAAATTACACGAAGAAGGTAAGCAGTTCTTTGATGTTATATCAGTTACTTTTAAGCTTTTGGTATCTGTTTCACTTGTGAAATGAAATAGATATTACATACAACACTGTGATAATAAATTCGGCGAGTTCTATGGGAAATATTGGTATTCTTAAATTTGCTTAACCAGCCGTAGATTACCCTAGGGAATGCAGTCATCAGTAAACTTGTAGGAACTCTCTACCTTGAGCTGTATCACCCAAACACATTGTTGTTCAAGGTAATGAATTTAGATGTTAAATGTACCTTTTGCTCATCTTCTCATAAGTAAATTATAACTCAGAGCAAAATGTGGCGACTTTCTACCTGTGCTGGCGATATCACCAGCAATAACTTTTAAGGTAATGAATAGATGTCAAATTTATCTTCTGGTTTCTCTTCATAAATTATGATGTGTAATGAGTAATAGAACTGTTATCCTACCAGCATGCGAGTATAGGCGGCCGAAGCATAGGATTTTAAACAGAAGTTTTGAGCCAAGTGCAGGGCAGACTTCCCATAGGATTTTAAACAGAAGTTTTGAGCCAGTAGTTTGTGTTCTTGGAGGTTGTTTCAAAACCATCAGTATATAGGTAGAAGAAGCTTGCACTTTAAGGTAATAGGCGTAAACGTGGGAAAACCTGAAAGGGAATCTACTTCTTTTCTCAGGCTCAGAGTTGCAATAAGGTGAAGAAATTGCAGCCTGTCGAAGTAAACCCTTGAGCATTAGAGAATCTTCGCAGGGGCTGGGAAGAGATCAGCGACACAAACAAAACCCTCTGTAGTATCAATTATATTCGAACAAGCATAGCCTATGATCTTGTAGGATTCGAAGACTCACAAAAAGTAATTCTATACGTATGATGATTTTTATTCCAACTTAAAAAGTGACTTCAAACAGATAACATGAGGTTATAGTGATGAGATATGCTATGAGGTTTTTTGAAAAAAATGACATGCTCTGCCTCTTCTCAATAGATTTTACTTCTGTATGTATTTATCACCCCAAAAAAAAAGATTTCTACTTATGATGTATATGTTTCTTTAACCTATGTAATCAGCGCTAAAGCTCTATGGCCACATTTTATGGTCTTACGAAAGGAAATCATGGACAACCTTGTACTTGGAGATATGGAATTTCTTTTGCTGCAAAAATTGCATTTGTGTTTATCACTTTCAGGTCCTTGTAAAATTTATTATCAATTTCAGGTATCCGGGATGAAAACGACCGTGCATANATGTTTATTGCTTTCAGGTCCTTGTAAAATTTATTATCAATTTCAGGTATCCGGGATGAAAACGACCGTGCATACAGTCCTAAAATAGTACGAATTGGTCTTAAAGCGCATCATTCTGTGCAGGCGGTCTCCATGGATTACCTCGTCTGTACCTTGCACTCGTTTCTCATTATTCTAGAGATCTCAGTGCCAAATATGGATGTTTACCTGGTAGGTTTATGTGTATGTAGGTGGAACAAAGACTGTCCGGCATGGACTCACAAACTGGTGATAGGCAGAAGCAAGGAGGGCCGCTGAAAGATAAAGACAGCATTCGTGGTTCTATTCTGGATGAGGCTGTAATTGTATGCCAGTTGGACCCTCTTTCTATAGCTAATAAAAATCCACTCAATGTCAGTTGGACCCTCTTCTATAACTACCTCAAGCCAGTCAATGACTAACCTATGATGTGCAGGTGTTCTCTACTCTTAGCTTCAGTGCTTCCCCTGTTTTCAGTAAATTGAATCGTGGTTTTGATGTTGTTATAATAGATGAAGCTGCTCAAGCTGTAAGTTACTATGTCCTCTATGACCTTGAATAGAATTTAATGCTACCTGTCATTGTCATTTGTTGTTCTTCTTCATTTGGTATAGTTAGCTAGTAATGCTTTGAATATTCTTTTACTTTACCTTTTTGCATTTGTTACTTTGTTCGTCACACCCGTGTTATCTTCCAAGCCTACTCCTCCCTCCCTGAAAAAGTTTCAGTTTGGAAATATACTTTCTCTTTTTATAACCTTAATGGAAATGATGAAATTGACTTTTTGCAGCTTTGGGTTGGGTTGGGTTGGGTGGGTGATAGAATTATCATGCTGCCAAATTCAAATGCCAGTAGTAATACTCAATTTGCAACTTCACGTGATATTTAACATAATTTTAACGATGCTCTCTTTCTAACCGATTATGCTGTTAGATGAGGTGGCCAATTGTTATACAATTTGATATAGTACCAAATCAGGTAGAGGCCCTTGAATCTCACTGCCAATCCTTCATGAGAAAATTCATGTAATTGTTCCATGAAAAATAATCAGAACTGCACATGAAAAGGGATGGTCATGTCCAGGTTCACCCTTCGAAATAACAAACCCAAAATCCCCATTTCAACCCATTCCATGCAGTGCTTTTTTGGCCAGTCCGTAAAAGTCCAATCTTAAATTTTTTTCCTTGTAAAACAATCCGACAAAATAGTTAGTAGGCATCTGTGATATGAAAAAACTACAAAATAAAGTTGCACATATCTTTTAACACATCAGATATGACCCTTTTTGGAATTAAAAGCTTTAAAAACAAAATAAAACCCATTAGAAGTATTATAGTCTTCACAAGCAAAGTACTAGTACCACAAGCAAATCATGAATGCTTCCTTGATTGCAAATGAATGTGTGGATTCCAGACTTAAAGGGCAGGTTCCCGGAATTCTCTGTAAGCTTGATATTGAGAAGGCCTATGATCATGTTAATTGGAACTTTTTACTCAAAGTTCTTCGGGATATGGGTTTTGGTAGGAAGTGGATCAACTGGATATCTTTCTGCATCAGAACAGTCAGATTTTCCATTTTGGTGAATGGTTCTCCAGAGGGATTTTTTCCTTCTGAGAGAGGTTTGAGACAAGGGGATCCCTTATCACCTTTTCTTTTCCTCTTTGCTATGGAAGGATTGAACCAAATGTTAAGAAATGCAAACAACAATGGCTGGCTGAAAGGTTTTAAAGCTTCAAACAGGGAGGGAGATAGTGTGGAGATCACCCATCTTCTATATGCTCATGACTCTTTAGTTTTTTGTGAGGCAAAGGCAGATCAACTAAAATATCTAAGAGTCATTCTTGTTATATTTGAAGCAGTCTCAGGGCTCCATGTAAATTGGAGGAAGAGCGTGTTGTTCCCAGTTAAAGAAGTGGATGATATCCAGGCCCTAGCAGCTATACTGGGATGTGAGGTGGGTTCTTTACCAACTATATATTTGGGTTTATCTCTAGGCTCCAAGAACAAAGCTCAAGAAATATGGAATGGGGTTCTTGAAAGATGTGAAAAAAGGCTGTCAACCTGGAAGAGCCAATATTTATCCTTGGGTGGAAGGGTAGTATTGGTTAATAGTGTCTTGGATGCACTTCCTACATATGTATATCTTTGTTTCCCTTACCAAGCAAGGTGAGGAAAAGAATTGATGCACTAAGAAGGAGCTTTATATGGCAAGGAAACAGAGAGAAGGAAGCTATTCATTTGGTTAACTGGAATTCCCTTATCACAAGCAAAGACAAAGGGGGTTTGGGCATTAGGAACCTTAAAGCCCACAATCAGAGTTTACTCTTGAAGTGGCTTTGGAGGTACAATCTGGAGGCTAATGCTTTGTGGAGAAAGGTCATCTGTGACAAGTATGGACAAAATGGACTATGGTGCTCTAACTCTGTTAATAGTTCACATGGGGTTGGGGTATGGAAGTCAATCAGACTTCACTGGAATACTCTGGCTGATAATACAACCATAAAGGTTGGTAATGGAAGGAAAACACTTTTCTGGAGTGATAACTGGTTAGGACATGGTCCTTTCAAATAACTTTTTCCTGATTTTTTCAGCATTGCAACATCACCTACATCCACTTTAGACACTGCCTGGGGTCAGCAAGGATGGAATGTTACTTTTAGAAGGGCCTTGAATGATTGGGAATTAGAAAGGGTTGTAAATTTCTTTAATATCTTGGAACAATTCCAAGGTCTTGGAGAAACTGAAGATAAACTATGCTGGAATCTTAGCAAGAGTGGGAATTTTACGGTCAGATCCGCGTATACTCTACTAGCTGCTTCAAACCAACAGTTAGAACAATGGCCCTGGAGGAATTTGGAAAGTAAAGGTACCTTTCAAGGTGGTATGCTTTTCATGGTTAGTTACAAGAAAGACTTGTCTAACCCAAGAGAACTTGAGAAGAAAAGGTTTTCAGCTATGTTCTAAATGTCTATTATGTGGTACAGCTATAGAAACTAATAGCCATTTGTTTCTTCACTGTCCTTTTACTGACCAACTGTGGCAACTATTTCTTAATATTGTGGGCCTCAAATGGAGCATGCCAACTAACACTTGTGATCTGTTGAAGTGTTGGAATTAAAATGGGGGTATAGTGAGACAGAAGAAATGGTGGCGATTGGTTCCTGCGTGCATATGGTGGATAGTCTGGAAGGAGAGAAATTTAAGAACTTTTGAAGGCAGAAGCAATTCTTTACAGAACGTCAAGATGAAGTGTTTACTTTTGTTTTATTTCTGGTGTAAAGAAAACTGGGTAGAGGAGGCAGAATCTTTAGTAGACCTGATAGGTGCACTGTAATCTTAGGCTGTCATAGCCGGTTTCTGTTTCCTTGTAAATATGGCTTGGCACTGCTCTAGTGCTGTTTTATTTATTAATATATATGTTACCATTATAAAAAAAAAACTAGTACCAAATTGTAAATTATTGAAAAATAATCCAACAGTGCATTGTATGCATTTGGTCCTAATCTTATGGAGGAGTTCATTAGATCATACTTAACTCCAAACAACTATGCTTAAATGGTCTAATCTTATGAAATGAAAAAAGTGCAGTTCACGTTAAATGGGGATTTTGCTTTTCTGGTCCTAATCTTATGGAGAAATGCATTAACAGTTTTTACCTTAGGAATCTAAGTTGAATTTAGCATCAACAGTTTTTACCTTAGGAATCTAAGTTGAATTTAACGGAAGTTGCTCAAGTGGTCCATACCTTATAGAGTGGAATATTGCACTTGTTAAGAGAAAAATAGGAATTTACAGTCCTACTTTAGGGGGAAAATGTGGTATGAAGCATTGTTACTTGCTTTGACTCTGAGGCACTTTTAGAGGGAGGTACTGCGGTCAGTAGAATGCCAGTTTAGGTGATGTAGGAAGGTGGTACACTTATTATCATACTACACTGAGGTAAGTTGCGAAGTGCCTCAATATGGGGTTAAATGACTTATTTTTCAGTTAGGAATAATGCCAATCAAATAGAGAACTTCAACAAAACTCCCTTTCTGGAATGTACCCAAATGGAGACAGACGAGTAATTATTGATAATCCGTATACCACTAATAAGTTTCAAGAGTGCAAATTCAGTAAGTCAATTTTAAACTATCAGTGTGTTTTTTCCTTAATGTAAAAGACTTTACACAGAACTTAAATAATTAATGTGTAGTAAGATACCACTTATCAAAAAATATATTCTAGTATTCCGCCTACTGAAAAAATATCTCCTAATATACTACTAGTATATAAGTCAAACCAACTCTTCAAACTCCTTGACAATCATGTTCCTGACATGAAGTGTGATTTATGAATTATCTTTAGTAATACTATTTGTTGAGTCGCCTTGTACTGTTGTATGTGAAATAACTGGATTCCCTCACCAAATTTACCGAGCTTCTAGAATTTTCTTGTAATATCTAGCCGCTAACCCTTAACGTCATTGTTAAACAGGTGGAACCATCAACACTTGTCCCGTTGTCCAATGGGTGCAAACAAGTATTCCTGGTATGGATATTGATGCAAATATGTAATTTTTTTCCTCAATTTTCTTGTAATATAATTCCTTGAGCTGGAAGATTTGGGCATACTTCCCAGGGTGATGTCTGTTCTTTTCTTCTGGTATTAAATCAACTCCATTGATTTGACATGAATGATATTAGTCTCTCAACCTTTTTATCCACTTCTCTCTTGTGGGTTGTCCCAACATATTATGTACTTTCTGTGTCATGATAGCTAAGAATTCATATTTCCTATATCGTCCTTCATTTATATTAAGAGTGAACCTTGTCTCTCCATACAACTGAAAAGTATCTCAACAGTACTTGAACCAGTTCATGTGTTGGGAAGTAAAACTATGGTATAAGCCCCCAAAAAATGTCGGTCTATAGGACATAAAATATTTTAACTGTTGCCATAGACATAAGAGAACTACTTATTATGAGTATTAGAACTGTTAAATTCTTCTATTATACATTAGTAACCATTTTTCTTTTAAAAAAACATGAACTATTTGCGGGCCAAAGTTTCCTTGCTACATATGAACAATTCTGAAGTCTGATTTTGTAGGTAAGCTCTTTAAATGCAATGTCGATACAATGATATATCTGTGTTTGATGTGCTCTGTGCTGAAGAAAATTTTGAAACCAGCATTCTTTCATTTCCCTTTGATATGAAATTTAATCTTGTTGGGAAACATTTAAAACTTTTTTTCTTCCTTCCCATTTTAACAGGTCGGTGATCCAGTTCAACTGCCAGCCACTGTGATCTCACCTATTGCTGGAAATTTTGGGTAAAGCAATTGCGTCTACATTCTATAAATAAAAAAGCATGAAACAGAAGTATTTATATTTCCAACACTTTTGAGAAACAAGTAAACAAGTTCTTATAACTTTCTGCTGCCATCATGTCGAAACTAGAGCTGTTTTCGAGGACCAAGAAGAATTCATTCAGCCACTATGAAAATCATCCCTCGACTCTCCAGGCTTTTACCTCCGGGCCTTCACCAGGGATCCCTACGTATCCTCTGACCTGCCAATCTCCTCCAGTCCACATCCTACCCTCCTCTAACTCTGCTTTAGATTTTCCTGCTTGGTTTCCTATTTCTAACTGCCTTCTCTTTTTTCATTACAAACTTTCTTGAAAAAGATAAATTTATTCTTTACTATGGAACTTGTTTGTGTTTTTTGGGTCTACAGTCTCTGTATGAAAAATATAATAGCTAAAGTGCGCAAATTTCAGCCTTATAGAAATGAAAATCGAGACATCCTTTTTTTTCCCTTTTTCGAGAAAAGATCTGACTTTTCCAAGTTACCAAAAAAGTCCTTGGAAACCCTAATTCTTGTTTCTCTAATTTCATCTTTCCTCCTTGGGCGTGGTATTGATAGATATTGCGTCAGTTTATTTGAGAGACTTCAAAGGGGTGGATATCCAGTGCAGATGCTGAAGACTCAATATCGCATGCATCCAGAGGTTTGCTACCATTCTCTTATATGGCATTATAAACTGTCACATTTTTATGCAACTGTTGAGACATCAATCTCATATGTTCAATGTGCAGAGATGTCTCTGGACGCTCTAGACACTTTTAGGTCTTTGTTCCTATTACTAACAGCAAAATAATATACTATTGTCACTGACCTAAGCCCATTTGACTAGAAAATAAATTTTAGAGACTTGGTCTCTTAAGTGACATTCAGCAGAGATAGTGATTTTGTTTACTGCTGCATTGCATCATATTTGAAAAGCATGAGAAATGCTGAGCTTCGACTGATAACTCAAAGAAAGATCAAATGCTAAAGCATCAAAAGAAAAGGTTAAAAAGGAAGAATTTGGCTGATAAAGAGAACCAAAGAACAAAAGATAGTAAGGAGAAAAGAAATCAAAATCAGAAGTAGGCTTCTAGCAACTAGGGATTGAATGTGTAGGTGGTAAATAGATCTGAGAGGAATAACTTGAAGTTTGTCTTTCAATCTAAATTTGGTCATTTGGTGATCAGCGATGTCTGCATTTAATTTCTTCTGTGTTTAACCTATGAATCATGCGTCCTCATTGCTTATCTTTAGATAATAAGATTTGAAAATGACAGAAAGTGAGGCTTGAGAATTCATAGATAGATGGTAGATGCGAGTCTCACACAATGTGGAACAGATAGCCAAAAAAAGAAAATATTACTGTAACTTCAAATGTGATATTGGGTTTAATAGGTTCACGGCAGGAAGTTCAAAATGATCTCTATTTTGCGAATATATTAATATAGTAGTATCGAATTACAAATTGCAGATAAGGAACTTCCCTTCCAGAGAATTTTACAAGGAGGCTCTAGAAGATGGACCTGATGTTGAAGAGCAGACAAAGCGCTCTTGGCACGAATATCGTTGCTTTGGACCTTTTTGCTTTTTTGACATACACGAGGGAAAGGAGTCTCAGCCATCTGGAAGTGGTTCTTGGCAAAATGTTGATGAGGTTGAGTTTGTGCTTGCAATGTATCACAAACTAGTCTCCAGATATCCAGAGCTTAAATCAAGTTCCCGGTTAGCTATTATATCACCATATAGGCATCAAGTTAAACTTTTGCGTCAAAAATTCCGAGAAACATTTGGTGTGGAGTCTGACAAAGTAGTTGATATCAACACTGTTGATGGTTTCCAGGTAATCCTTTGACTTTTCTGACAGATTTCCTGCATCATTTGGCACTTGATTAGTGCTAAATAAGATTCAGGCACCCTCTCTTCTCCTCTGTATTTGGTAGAGAGAAAATAATTTCACTATACTACAGGGACGTGAAAAGGATGTTGCGATATTTTCATGTGTTCGAGCGAGCAAAGATAAAGGCATTGGTTTTGTTGCTGATTATCGGCGAATGAATGTTGGCATAACCAGAGCACGGTCTTCTGTCCTGGTATTCATTTAGCAAGCGAAAGTTTTCTAATACCCAATCCTACTTTTCATAAGTCAGTTAATGTTCTGTAAACACTGTTCTACATTTTGTGTTTAGGTTGTTGGTTCTGCATCCACATTAAGAAGAGGAGACAAACATTGGCAAAATTTAGTTGACAGCGCGGAGCAGAGAAATGCACTCTACAAGGTATAAACTCTTGACCTAATTACCTTAGCACTCCATGTTGAGAAATATTCAGACATGGTACCAAAAAATGAGGTAGGGGAAGGACACCCAGTTCCTAAGGAGCGAAAACAGGAAATATAAGGAGTCTGGTAAGCTTGTTAGCCATGTTGTGTGAACTAAGAAAATAATTGTCTTATCCTTATGCTGTCTAATTTTCTTTCGCTTCCTCGTTTTCACTCCAAACATTGTCTGCTTAATGGTGCACATTTTAAGCAGTTATGTGCACATTTCACTCCAAACATTGTCTTCCTCGTTTTCGCTTCCTTGGTCTCGAACTTGCACACAGTTATAAATTGTCCCAGTTTTCTAGTGTTCTTTTGTGCCACTTCAGCTACATCCTTGATTTCTACAGTTCAATCAACACATATATGCTTATTTGGCTTCTGTTTAAGGTCTCCAAGCCCTACGATGAATTCTTCAGTCAGGAAAATCTCAAATTAATGGAAGTGGAAGCTATGCATGATAAACCTGAAGCTCCACCAGAAGATATGGACGTTGAAGTGCCCGTTGATGGTACTGCTGTTGAAGCTGATCCAGTGCAACCGGAAGAAAATGACTGGGGTGATGCTGGAGAAGAAGGGGGCTACGATGAGGACTAGGGTATTGTTTCTTTCATCATTCTTTGACCAATATGAATTCCACAAAATTGTTCCCAAGTATTTATATTAAACATATTTTTATGTATCATAATGATCATGTCCAAATCATTATAGTGTAGAGACTCAATTTCAATTGATTATTAGGAGCTTGGAACAACTTGACATAGATTGTAAGTTTTACTTTTATTTTTGAGAAGGTAAGAAATTGTAAGGCTAATCTTATATAAATGATTACTTGTAAAGGGTTGCCATAATGGTAAAATTAAATCATCAGCATTTCTCTTATGTTTAATTTTTTTTTCTTTTCTTTTTCGTCTCCTGGACTGTACAGAGCAGTTTCAATACCTTCATATAAACAGTGGAGGATTTGTAGACACAGAATTAAAAATTTATATTAATATTTCTTGTCTAAAAGTAATATTTCAAGATCTTCTATATATAATTGTCTCGTGTTGTTAATATCTTTTTCAGCTCTTTTTAATATCAATCAGATCAGATGTGAGATATCCATTCCACTCCCTTTGCTAACTTCCAGACAAAGTATCAGTTACTTGTACATCACTCATAGATTGCAGAAGTAAAGACCCAACTCGAATTGTTTAGACTAAAGTCGCTATAACTATTCATTGACGATCTGCCTAAAGTTTTTTTTTAAATCTTTTTGCCGCGTAATTTTTTACGTTTTGTAGCAACTTTAGTCGACACTAAAAGTCTAAAGCAAATAAGATGACTTGAACTAAAACAAGATAAGGTAATTTGTGTAAAACAGAATAGTATTTATGGTAACTAAAGTTGACATAAAGTTAATGCTACTATGGCCAAAAGAGTTACTTATTAAAGGATAAATTGTTTGTGGCAACCAAGATCGCCACTAAAAGTCAAAAAGTCGCCACTAAAAGTCGGTACCTCGCCCCTGCTATAGGTGACATATTATGCCGATTTTTAATGGCGATTTTGATCGCCACAATAAATTAATCATTTTATAAGTAACTCTTTTGGCCATATGACGTTAAGTCGGTATATGTTATTTGACTCTTACAAGTATCGTTGTCTGACAACCAATGTCTCACATATATTTTAATGGACATGACACATGGTGCCCTTTAAGTACAAGACCCGACCCACAACTTAAAAAACCCATACCCACTTAAAACCCACGACCAAAGTACTACATTAAAAAATTGTTTGATCCGAAAAAAAAAAAGAATTTGGTCATTTTCCGTATAAAGAAAGTTCCAAACACATGAATGTCATTGATGTTAAAGGAAAACAATTACTGCATCCGTTTCAAATTAGATGAGGTACTTTCCTTTTTAGTTTGTTCTAAAATAAATGACACATTTTTAAATTTAAAAATAATTCAACTTTTAAACTCTTCATTTTACTCATTTTACCCTTAATGAGAAGTTTTTATAACCACACAAATATCATGGCCCCACAATGCTTTTACCTCTTAAACTTTTAAGACCACAAGTTTTAAAAATCTTCTTGTTTTTTTTAAATTTCGTGCCGAATCAAACTATCTCATCTAAATTGAAACGGAGGAAGTATATGAATTTGAACCTTGATATACTACCATTCAAGTGATGGAAATTTGGAGGTCCGTAGGTTGATTGGGTACTTTTTGACGAAAGTTAGAAAATGTTTAAGGTTTGGAAGGATATGTTTGACCGAGAGTTAATTGTGTTGATTTCGGGTTCAAATTTTTTCTTTTTGGAGGACATATGTAGCTATTTTGAAATTGAGGGAGCAAACTGTAACCTTTTTTTTTTTCAAATAAAACAAAACGGAGATGACGACAAAAATGGATAAATACTAAAATAGTGAAAAGAGCAGAAGAAAGCTAAAAACAAAAGATGTTACATTGCATGGAACTCGCATAGAAGAAGCCAAGTTTGAGACGTAGAGTCCGAATCCCCACTGTCGTCACTTACTCATTAGATAACTAGTCTATGTCCCTATCCCTATCTTAGTAGGCGTTTGGACATAAGAATTGTAAAATTCAAAAAAAATGTGAAAATAATTTTCAAGTGAAAATATTATTTAAAATTTAGAGTTGTATTTGGTCATAAATTTCAGTTTGGGTTGTTTTTGAAATTTTGTGAGTGATTTGAGTGAAATTTTTGAAAAACAACTTTTTAGAGTTTTTCGAATTTTCAAAAATTTCCAAAATATATTTTCAAGTGAAAATTAAAAATTTTATGAACAAACACTGATTTCGAAAAAAAAAAAATTTGAAAAAAACTTCCATCAAATTTTATGTCCAAATGGGTTAGTAAGTAATTTTGTGTAAGAAAATTATATATATATATATNTATAAAATAAAGTATAAGTTTCTGAAATTAATTAAATATTAATCCTATATACCTAACTCAATAAAGAAAAAAATTGTTCATAGAAGTCATCAACATATTCAACATATTCACCTTAAATTTTGTTCTAGATTTTTAGTTTTATCAGTTCAATTTTACCAGTTATTGTGCTTTCTTTTTAGTTTCAGTAAAAACACAACCTTGAAGATTTAAAACTTTTTCTGAAAATTTTATTCAAAAGCTATTCTCAAGTTCATGCCAGAAGACACAAACATGTTTAATTAGCACTTTTATTCGTCCATATTTAATATTATTCAAAAGCTACTCTCAAGGTGTTCATGCTTTTAATATAGTATAGATTTATAGCATGTTTGGCCAAGTTACAAAAATCAGCTTATTTTGAGAAGTGTTTTTCTTAAAAGTACGTTTCTCAAAAGTACTTTTGGTGAGAAACAATTTGTATTTGGCTAATTAATTTGAAAAATACTTCTGGCCAGCAATTAGTGTTTAGCCAACCTTTTTAAAATTGCTTCTAAGTATATTTTTCTCGGAAGTGCTTTTGGAGAGAAGCTACTTTTTTTGCTTCTACTTCTACTTAAAAGCACTTTTTTCTTCTAAAAGTTTGGTCAAACACTTCAACTTCGAGAAAAAAAAAATACCTTTTTGAAAAGGAAAAAAAATACTTTTGGGTTTGGAGAAGCTTGGCCAAACAGGGTTACTCTCTCTCTCACTATTTTTATCAAATAAATAATTAGTTCCTCTATTCTATTTTAAATTATATTTGTTCTAAAATAGTAATACTTATATGTTTATAAAACCTTAAGCCTTATCCTTAATGTCATGTTAGATCTCTTGAACCTATGAAACTCGTGAAAGTGGGTGAACCCCCTGCCCCTTCCCTGGTTCTCCTGCTGCAAAATTAAATACGATCTCTTTCCATACTTCACAAGCAGCAGCTAGTTCCAGGCTCCATTTGCAAGCCTCGGCTTTGGGAGCCTGCATTTGTGGGAGCTGAGGCCACATTCACTATCATCACAGTCTGGGTCCAACTAGGAGATACTTGTTTGTTCATAAGGATAATAGTTCTTCTTAGGTCAGGGGTGGCCGGATCGGGGGTTACCCGCGATTGGTAATGGCAAAAGCAGAAGAGGAGTAGGGGAGACAAGGTTAGTTGCTAGGTAGCGCAGTGCGAGGAAAGGAAAGAAGGTGATAAGCAAGAAGAGTATGACTGTCATATCCTATTCAAAATTAAATTAAAAATAATTAAATATCATCATAAAATAAAACAAATGAATTTGTAAGGATATACAAATTTTTACATTTAAACTTTTACTAACTTGACCAGGGCCTATGACTATCATTCTTGGGATAATATATAATTAACTCATTGGGGTTGTCGCACTTTACCAAATGCACACTTCATTTTACGGGGGTCCTATGACACCCTTTAACAATTTTGAACTGGTATTATTATCCTCTTTCGAACCCACATGGAATGGAGAGTATATATCACTTGCTTAAAGAGAGTGAGGGGATCAAAAAAGAAAATTAAAAAAATTATTTATTACAAGATTTTTTATTAAATGTTTCTTTTTTACTTTTCTCTCTTTTTGTTTAACTTTACCTCATCATTTTCCTTTTCTTTTACTTTTCTTTTTATCTTCTTATCTTCTTCCTTCTTCTTTAATCTTTATTAACAGATCCCTCATCCACCACTTTACTGCCTCCATTTTCACCAAATCCACCCGAATTTTTCTTCATTAAAAAAAAGGATGAAGTTACACTTCACATATTCAGCAATTAAATCACACCCCACTACTTTGATTGATACAATCTCCACCACATTGATTTCAAAAGAAAAGGCTTAGGAAGCTTCAACCATAAAAAAAAAATACAGACCTAATTGAAATCCCACAATTTTATTTTTCAAAGACTGTTCAGGAAGAACAAAGTCGTTGGTGCTTCGATTCGAAATGTTTGTGTTATTCGATTACATATTTTGGGAGATGAAATGAATATTGGTCTAATCGAATCTATATTTATTGAAATTTTTTTCTCTGATGAAACAAATTAGTATGGAATTCCTTGCCCCTACATAAATTGATTTAATTTTATAAATTAGATGAAGGGTGGCCTTTTGTTATGCTAGTGGTAATGTGAACTAGATTGAAAGGCATATTAACGGCATGCGGGAGTAGTACATACAGTTGAGGGAGTGGTACTTAACATAAGGAATATAAGTTAGTTATTACTTTACTAGTTTACAGTTAAGTCTAGTTACTTTTTAAGTGTAAGAAGTGTTATATACATATTCACTATTCTATGTTTTCCTATTTGGACACTTTGTGTCCTAGTCCCTAGTTAGGCATATCAGTATTTGTACAGAGTTGAGCTCTATTTGCTTTTTTTTTTATGAAATTAACCCTAACTATTTTCTGCTTCTTCTTAGTTATTCTACTTTCAATTACTGCAATTTTCTTAGTTTTTAGAATTAATTACAACAATGGTATCAGAGCAGGGTCCTCGCAACGTAGGATTCGACCATGTCTTCGGAATTTAAAGATGTTTTGAATAGGTTGGATAGAATGGCTATTGATGTAGCTAACTTTTGGGTTTGTCAAAGTCAACTAGAGAATGTTCATGAGCAGGCTTTTCGTGAACTCAAAGAGTCTTTAGAGGTTGGCCGGAGTTTCGGCAGAGACAAACAACTAGCCCAGACGGAAAACGGACGAGAAGAGATCTATTCTCGTACAGAAGGACCCTTGAGACTCCCAGGTACAGAGAATCGACCCTCTACTAGTCGTTCTACTTTACAATCTGCACAAACTTCATCCACATCTGTAACCGTCACACCACCAGTGAACTTAGCTCTAAATAGCCAATATTGACCCGTCCCCAAACCAATTTCCACCCAAATTCCACAAAACCAGACCCATTTTCAGCCGATTCCAGCAAAAATGCAAACCCCACACTTTCAGCATGCTTTACCCTCACCTCCAAAAAAAAATTCATCACAGATACCTCCAACCATATACCCTTCAAACGCCCAAAACCCTTACCGTATGAACCCTCAGCACTATTACTCTTCACACCCTCAAAACTATCATCCTTCGTATCCCCAGAATTACTATACCCCAAATTCAATTTGCCCCTTGTCACCAACACAAAATCCCCAGTCACTTACACGCTTGAAAAAAATTAATTTCCCTAGATTCTGTGGGAAAAGTTTTCGTGACTGGTGGTATATGGCTGATTTCCTTGATTTACCTAGATTCTGGTGGTATTTCGATGAGATTCAACCTCACCAGAAGGTTATAATTGCCTCTATTCACTTTGACGATATTGTGATTTAATGGCACCAAGCTTACATGAGAAGTAGGCAACATCTAGCCCCTCCTAGTTGGGAGGAGTATTTGCCTGCTCTAGCTGACAGGTTTGGGCATGAATATGAAGATCCAATGGGGGAGCTGGTTAAGTTGCGACAACCTGGAGTGTATTGGCTTTTCATGAGGTTTTTGATCGGGCCATGACTAGGCCGCACCTTGATCCTAACCATGCAATTAGTATCTTCCTAAATGGGCTAAAACCTAAGTTGAGCGATGTTGTTATGATCCATAGACCATATTCTCTTCCACAAGCCTACCACTTAGCAAGATTGCAGGAATCTATTTTTCTTTCCCAGTCCAAGGCTATGAGAAGTTTTCCCTTAAATTATCCACATGCGTTGCCTCGACCTTCAGGAAATGTTGTTGTACCTAACAACCCCAGGCCCTATGATAGGGCAGCACAGGTGCACAAGCCTAATTATGTGGTGGAGGATAGAAATAAGAGGAGAAGGTTAACTACTACCGAAATGAATGACAAACGGGCTAGAGGACTTTGTTTCTTTTATGATGAGAAGTTCGAACTAGGGCATGTGTGTAAAGATAGAAAGCATTTATTCTTATTGGAGTTAGAGAAAGTAGTACATGACACTAATGAGGAGAGAAATAGTGCAGAGGAAGCAATTGCAAATTGTGAAATCTCTCTACAGGATCTAAATAGAACCAGAGGTTACACAACCATTCGAGTGATTGTCTATAATCAGAAGAGAGCTATTAACATTTTAATAGATGGAGGTTCTACTCATAACTTTGTTGATTCTAATTTTGCTATCAAGATGGGATGGCATATAGAAACCTATAGACCACAGAATGTGAGTGTAGCAGATGGCAGTATTGTGCAAGTATCACAGATATGTAGGAGAATTGAATGGTTGATGCAGAGAGCAGTTTACACCTCAGACTTCTTGTTGTTTCCAATAGGGTCCAGTGATATGGTATTAGGAGTCCAGTGGTTGTTTGAGCTTGGAGATATCAAGTTTAATTACAGGAAACTCTCTTTGGAGTTTGAGTATCAGGGGAAGATGCTTAAAGTACAAGGCATTAACCCCACTCTGAAGGAAGTGGATTCCAATTCCTTTCACAACATGGAGTGCACCAGTGCTCACTTATTCATGATTAGAGTCACTCCTACTGTTACAGGTGTTCTGGTAAAGGATAAGGAAGAGAAAATCAATTAACCTCCCATTATCCAACAAGTGTTGGAGGAGTACAATGAGGTGTTTAATGCCCCCAAGGATATTCCACACTTTAGAGAACCATTTAATCATCAGATTCCCCTAATAGAAGGATCTAAGGTTGTCAACTCAAGGCCCTACGGGTATTCCCCTATGCAAAAGACATTATTGAGAATATGGTACAAGAACTCCTTGCTCAGGGTCTTATACAATATAGTTACAGCCCTTTTGCCTCACTTGTGGTGCTAGTGGGGAAGAAAGATGGGAGTTGGAGAATGTGTGTTGACTATAGGGCGTTAAGCCAAATTACCATTAAGGATAAATATCCTATCCCAGTAATTGAGGAGCTTTTGGATGAATTAGGTGGCTCCATGATCTATTCCAAATTGACCTTCGAGCACGCTACCATCAAATCAGAACGGCACCATCTGATGTCCACAAAACTGCCTTCAAGGCCCACTGTGGTCATTATGAGTACTTAATCATGCCTTTTGGCCTGACTAATGCTCCTTTTAAATTTCAAGGCTTAATGAACCATGTGTTCCAAGCACACCTCAAGAAGTTCATCTTGGTATTTTTTAATGATATCTTGGTGTTCAGTAAGAGTCTTGAGGAGCATGTTGAACACTTGAGAATAACTTTCCAGTTGCTACTAAAACGTCAGTTGTTTGCTAAGAGGTCTAAGTGCCAATTTGCTGCTGAAAAAGTGGAATACCTTGGGTATTACATATCAGCTCAAGGAGTATCTACTGACCCTAAGAAAATTCAAATTGTGCAATAGTGGCCACTTCCAACTAACATCAAACAGTTAAGAGGGTTTTTGGGGCTGGCAGGGTACTACAGAAGATTTTTTAAGGGTGATGGGCAGATCAGTAGACCTTTGTCTGACTTGCTGAAGAAGGATGGGTTCAAGTGGACAGAGAAGGTCAGTGAGGCCTTTGGGACATTGAAGCAGGCTCTTACTACAGCTCCTTTATTGGCACTATCAGATTTCTCTATACCATTTGTGGTGGAAACAGATGCATGTGACTTAGGCATTGGGGCTGTTTTAATGCAACAAGGCAGACCTATAGCTTACCTGAGCAAGGGGTTATTAGGCCAACACCAAGCTCTATCTTCCTATGACAAGGAGTTGTTAGCACTAGTCATGGTTGTGACTAAGTGGGGACAAAACTTAGTGGGCAGGCACTTCACAGTCAAAACTGACCAGAAGGCTCTTAAGTTCCTATTGGAATAGAAATTGCATATAGTGTCTCAATTAAAGTGGATCACCAAGTTGATACAATACGACTTTGACATAGAGTACAAGAAAGGCAAAGAAAACAAAGTTGCAGACCAGGCTACCAGCAGTGGAACTGGAAGTTTTCACTCTATCTACTATGAGAACTGATTTGCTACAATCTATCATGGCTAGTTGGCAGAAAGATGCTCGTTTGGTGAAACTAATCCAGAAATTGGTATCCAAGCAGGGTGACAATATAGGGTATACTTATATTAATAATCAATTGAAGAAGAAGGGTAGATTGGTGGTAGGGCCTGATTTATCTTTGAGAAGTGAAATTCCCAAGTTGTGGCATGATACCCCCAACAGGAGGGCATTCAGGAATTGATCACACATATAGGAGGATTGCAGCCTTATTTTATTGGAAAGGATTGAAGGAAGTGGTGGCAGATTATGTCAAAAAATGTGCCATCTGTCAGAAAAATAAGTATGACTCTGCTGCCTACCCGGGGTTGCTTAAACCTCTCAACACTCCTGTTACTGCTTTGAGTAGCATTAGCATGGACTTTATTGAAGGCCTTCCAAAGTCTAAAGGGGATACTGTTATATGGGTCGTTGACCGGCTAACCAAATATGCTCACTTCCTAGCTATCTCCCATCCTTATTCAGTAGCTGATATAGCTAAGATGTTCATGAAGCAAATTTTCAAATTGCATGGTATGCCGGAGGATATTGTTAGTGGAAGAGATCTTGTGTTTACAAATAGACTTTGGCAGGAGTTATTTGCTATTCAAGGGTTTACATTGAATATTTTTACTGCCTATCATCCCCAATCCGATGGGCAAGATGAAGTTATCAATAGATATCTTGAAACTTATCTCAGGTGCTAGTGTTCTGATTCACCTTCTGATTGGGCCCAATTCCTTTCTTATGTCCTCACGACCTGGTGGTCGGCTTTTCACACTTTTACTCAAAACCACTCCATATGAAGCCCTTTATGGTCAGCCACATCCTTTACACTTTTCATATGTTCCTGGGGATTCCGAGCTACCTGAAGTAGATAGGGGCATGGTGACTAGAGAATTCAAGTTGCAATTGCTTAAATACCATCTAGACAGATCACAGCAGAGAATGAAGATGCAATCCAATAAGAGAAGAACCGATAGGCAATTTAGTGTGGGGGATTGGGTGTATCTGAAAATTCAGCCTCATAGACAGGTGACTATGGTTGCTCATCACTTCAGCAAGCTATCTTCTAAGTACTATAGTCCCTACATGGTCATCCAGAAAGTGGGACTTGTTACCTACAAGTTATCCTTACCAGTTGACTTGCTCCTTCACCCTACTTTTCATGTTTCAGTGCTCAAACCATGCTTTGCAGTTCCAGCTCAAATCTCGCATCCACCAGTGCTGAACATTTCGAGTCCATATTGTCCAAAATCAGTCAAGATTTTAGACAGGAGAATGGTTCAAAAGGGTAACAAAGTTGTGGTTCAACTGCTCATCCAATGGGAACACCTTGATGAAGCTCAGGCTACCTGGGAAGATGCTAATGCTCTGAGAGTTTGATTTTCTTCATTCCTTCCTTGGGGACAAGGAAGTTCTTAACGGCGGGGTACTGATGTGAGCTAGATTGAAATGAGTATTAACGGGCATGCGGGAGTAATACATACAGTTGAGGGAGTGGTACTTAACATAAGGAATATAAGTTAGTTATTACTTTACTAGTTTACAGTTAAGTCCATTTACCTTTTAAGTGTAAGAGGTGTTATATACACATTCACTCTTCTATATTTTTTTATTTGGACACTTTGCGTCATAGTCCCTAGTTAGGCATGTCAGTATTTGTACAGAGTTGAGCTTTCATCTGCTTTTTCATGAAATAAACCCTAACTATTTTCTGCTTCTTCTTAGCTGTTCTCCTTTCAATTACTGCAATTTTCTTAGTTTTTAGAATTAATTACAACAGGTGGTTGACGGCGGCAAGAGAGAAAGTGAGGGAGAGGTTACGGGCTGGGGTTTGCAGGGAAGGGACTGGAAAGTATTTTGGGGGTGTAGGTAAAATATACTTAGTTTTTTTTTTTGTCTTTTGTTTTTAGTATTTGACACGTGTCAGGCAAATACCAGTGCATGCCCTCACTCCCTATGTTGAAAGTGGAGTTGTCCTAAAACGCGTGTAATAATACCATTTTAAAATTGTACAAGGGGGTCATAGGAGTCCGCAAAGTAAAAGGGTACATCTAATAAAGTGCAACAACCCCAATAGGGTAATTATGTATTTTCCCATCATTTTTCCTAAGAACTAAATTAACTATTTTGTCGGAAACGTCAAATGCAAATAAGTTTCCTTCCCCTTACCGTGCATGCTTCCAAATTTTGAGTCAGTTTTAAAAATTATCACTAAACAACTTATTTGTAGTGATAATGAAAACGAACTTAATATAAATATACAACTTTGGACTTAATCAAGTAATCTCGTGTTTCCAATATATAAAATCCATATTATTCGTCAACGCACAATTATTATTATTATATATTGCTTATTTAGTTTAATCAGACGAATTTTTAACTAAGCATAACTTGAACCGATTAATAACCTCATTAAATATAAATTCAATTATTTTATTCTAAAATTATTTTTGAGTTAAAAAACACAAAAAAAAATTCATTGTCGGATACGAGGAAGAATGTTGCTTTCGGAAAAGGCACGAACGAATCTCTTAAAACAGTAGAAAGTGGTTTCGAGGAATAGTGTATTTTTCTTTTCTTTTTCTCTTCCTTTTTCCTTTTTCCTTTTTCTTTTCCTCGGTATTTTTAGTCTGCTAATTTCTTCTTCTTTTTTTATAATTATTTTTTAAATTTTGATACATTGTCTGCAATTTTTTAACGACTATGACAGCCGCCTGCCTTCCTGCCGGCAGTAAATTTCTTCAAGTACTTATTATCAACAAGACAACCAGCTTGTATACGGTTAGCCTAATGAGCGCCCCGATTTTTTCGGTGGGGCAAACAGAGCAAGGACGTAATTACAAAGAATCAGAATTGAAGCCAGCAACCTCTCGTATCAAGGCCCGAACAAAACATCTGTCCTCGGAGCCATCGAGACCACGCCTTTCGGATCCGGTTTGAGTTCCAAGTCCTCGGAAAGCATTACCAAACGACCGAGCACGACTAACAAAGGGCTGTGATATTTGTGCCCAATCGGATATCAGGGGTAAATCGCGCCCCGTATCAGCAGCAGATCAGTGATTAGCGAAAAGGAAGATTTTTACCTTTTTTAAAATTATACTTAGGGTAAAACTCTCATATTATATAAAGGGTAAGCTTACTATTCAATAGACATATTGTAACACGAATATCAAGGCAATATACATTTATTTTCTTTGCTCCTAAAAGTGATTCAAAGTCCTTAATTTTGCTCATAGTTCATCATAAGTGTTTGGCTCCGAACCGAAGGCAGGCTAATTGTTAAGCTCATAACCGAGCCCGAACTCAATACTACTACTAGTTTGGTTGTTTATTCTATCTTTAATTTGCTCATCTAACGTTATTAATAACTTGTATTGAATTAGTCCACATATCCTTAAAACCGCGTATAAATTCAATTGTTATCCATTTTTAAGGGTAAACAGTTTGGCGCCCACCGTGGGGCTAAGGATAAAAGTGGTAATTTGATACAAATTTTCATAACACGCTCTATTTTACGCTTGTTCTTTGAGATTTTAATTTCAGGTCAACCTAAAAATGTCAAACTCTCAGTCTGGTCACTTGAACGTTGACGTTGAATCTGTCCATCACGGCGAAAACAATAATATAGTGCCTAGCAACGAGATACCCTATGTTGATCCAACGGAGCCCCAGTTGCAGACCCAGTTGACGCCAATTCGCATGTGGCCATCGATGCTAACCTCCCGACCGACCCTGAGAACAGCGTTCGCGGAGGAGCTCGACCTACGACTCGAGGTACGCCCGAAGGTGAAGGCGACGGGATCAATTTGCGGGTGACCTTCGAAATGTTATAGGCCCAACAGGCGGCGATAGCATAGCTGCAGAATCAAAGTCGCGCCGCCAGCAGAGTTGAGCCCGAATCATCTCGGAAAAACACCCGAAGAAATGAGCAAGCCACAGAAAGGCCGGGCTGAGCCCGGGACCAACTCCGAACTAATAAAATTGCTTGAGAAACTAACAAAGCGGGTGGAATCGGGGGAGAAGAAAATTGAGGCTAATGAGAAAAAAGTGGAGACCTATAACTCGAGAGTCGATCAAATCCCAGGAGCGCCCCCGATATTGAAAGGCCTGGATTCCAAGATATTTATCCAAAAGCATTTCCCTCCGAGTGCGGCAGCGAAGCCAATCCCGAAGAACTTTTGCATGCCCAAAATTCCGAACTATAGTGGAACCACATATCCAAATGAGCATGTGACCTCCTATACGTGTGCCATCAAGGGAAACGACTTTGAAGATGACGAAATCGAGCCGGTTTTGCTAAAAAAAAGTTCAAGGAAACCCTATCCAAAGGAGCAATGATATGGTATCACAACTTACACCCAAATTCTATTGATTCGTTTGTTATGCTTGTAGATGCCTTTGTGAAAGCGCATGCCGAGGCCATCAAGGTCAAGACCAAGAAATCGGACCTTTTCAAGGTAAAACAAAGAGATAACGAAATGCACAAGGAATTCGTATCGAGGTTTCAAATGGAATAGAGGGACCTGCCCCCGGTTGCGGATGATTGGGTCGTTTAGGCGTTCACTCAAGGACTCAACCCCCAAATCTCCTTGGCTTCACAACTGTTGAAACAGAATTTGATAGAGTACACGGTGGTAACTTGGGCCGACATCCATAACATGTACCAGTCAAATATCAGAGTTGAGGACGATCAACTCGGGGGGCCCTCCGGGTCCGTTTATCTCATCTGAACTAATGACAGGCCTAAGAGAGTCACCGATCATGAACCAAGACAGAACAGAGACTGATATCAACCGTATAGCGGCGATCGTAAGGGTAACGGATTTGGGCGTAACCCCATGAGAAACAAAAAGAGGAATGATCGAAGCCACAGTAGCCGGGGACTCATGAGCAAAAACGGTTTCGACAGGACATTCGGGGCCAGGGAGGCACCAAGGTTATCGGAATATAACTTCAATGTCGATGCTGCTAGGATCGTATCTTCCATCGGGCGCATCGAAGATACCAAGTGGCCTCGACTATTGCAGTCTGACCTTACCCAGAGAGACCCTAACTTAATGTGTAAGTATCACGGCACTCATGGCCATAGAACCGAGGACTACTGACAGTTAAGAGAGGAAGTGGCTCGATTATTCAATAACGGGCATCTCCGGGAATTTCTGAGTGATCGAGCCAAAAATCACTTCAGGAATAGGGACTCCAACAAACAGACCAAAGAAGAAGAACCTCAGCACGTCATCAACATAATCATTGGTGGAGTCGAAGTCCCTCAGGGACCAATGCTAAAGCCCACTAAGGTGTCCATCACAAGGGAAAAATGAACCCGAGATTTTATCCCGGAGGGAATCATTTCGTTCAACGATGAGGACGTCGAAGGCATCGAACAACCGCATAATGATGCACTGGTAATATCTGTACTGATAAATAATTCTCGAGTTAAGCGTGTGTTGATTGATCTAGGTAGCTCGGCCAATATCATCAGATCGAGGGTCGTAGAGCAGTTGGGTCTACAAGAACAAATAGTGCCGACAATTCGGGTTTTAAACGGATTCAACATGGCATGCGAAACTACTAAAGGGGAGATAACCCTACTGGTGAACACCGCCGGGACCATTCAGGAAATAAAATTCTATGTGATTGAACCCCTCGACACTACACCAGGCACTGAAGATCCCCACACTAGGAGAAATCAAGACGATTTATGGAGAGCAGCCAGCCGTAAAAGAATGTACGTAGATTACAAAGACTTGAACAAGGCGTTCCCTCAAGGACTCTTTTTTTTTTGCCTAACATCGATCGCATGATCGATGCGATAGCCGGGCACAAGATACTCGTCTTTCTCGATGCCTATTATGGATATAACCAAATTCAGATGGACCAGGGCGATCAAGAAAAAACTTCCCTTATCACTAAATTTGGCACCTACTGTTATAACGTAATGTCGTTCGGACTAAAGAACGTTGGTACCACTTATCAACGCCTAGTAAATCGGATGTTCAAAGAACAAATAGGAAAATCAATAGAAGTTTATATTGACGGCATATTAGTTAAGTCCCTACGAGCATAGGACCATTTGAAACATTTGCAGGAAACCTTTGATATACTGAAGAGATACAATATGAAGCCGAACTCGGAAAAATATGCATTCGGGGTCGGATCCGAAAAATTCCTTGGATTCATGGTGTCCAACCGAGAGATTAAGATCAATCCCGATAAAATCAAAGTTATAGAAGACAACACCGTGGTGGAAAGTGTTAAGGTCGTTTAAAGGCTAACCGGGAGCATAGCTGCCCTAGGCCGGTTCATATCAAGATCCTCAGACAAGAGCCATCGGTTCTTCTCATTATTGAAGAAGAAGAATAAATTTTCTTGGACTCTGG